TTTGCGCTACGACGAAAGGTTATTTCCAAGCATGCGCACTGCGTCGTTTTTGTTTTTGTTTTTTTGTTTTTTTTTTCAATGAACTGCGGACTCTAGCTCCCGGAATAGGTTCAATTCAATGTCAATGAGAGATAGCCTGCCTATTTTACTAATTAAAAGCAATTACAAGGGTAGTGGATTACTTTCACATTTATGATCGTGATTCGATTCCGGGGCATGCGCGAGCCATATTTTACGTTCTGGGTTTCAGCACTCACATTCCTCATGTGCTGGTTTCATTACTGAATTGAAGTACTTGTCACTGCTAGAAGTAATATTCACCATTTATTCCACTCATAAATCGCGAAAGTTTATGAACAAGTATGTTATTTTCCTGACCCATAAGCACGTTTTACGAGTACTCGAGAAACGCGAGACGAGTACTGCGAAAGCCGGCGCGCGAGACGCACGCGCCAATCGAGAGACTGGGTTCTAAACGAAGCCAACATGGCGACGGATTATTGAACTGCACGTGTGTAGTAAATTGGATCTAAAGTAACATAATTAGACTCCTGGAACTCGGATTTGAGCTGTAGCAGTTCTTTTCCTTACTCGTCAACACTTGGCTTTATTCATGATCTGAAAATTCTCGCAAGTGGCATGACAGAAGTCGTAAAAAATCTGGCACTGGTCCTGTGAGGTAAGCGCATGTTTAATTAGCTTATAAAGTCAAGCTTAAGCTTAAATTTAAGACTATTTCGTAGAAAACGATGGTCTCATAAGTAAGTAATATTGGTGATGGTAATTAAAGGATTAAAATTATGGTTTAAATCATCAAGTAAATCCAGGAGATCTGGTACAAAAAAGGTGAAGCATGAAATTTGGCAGGTACATAATGCACGTCACAAGTCACAGGTCACAAGTGCAGGTCATTGCTCTGTTGATAAATAACTGAAATAAGCGAAAACTATTTGTCAGATTTTGATTCCTCATGAGGGAGTTTTATGTAGAAAACACAGACCAAAAAAATTTCCCCCCACCCCCCTCCCAAATCTGGGAAAATCAGACCCCCCAAAAAATCTGTCTAGAAAATGCATGCAGGCACCCCCTTCCCCCACCCCCACAAATGACAAATAAAATAAATAATACGTAAAACTCAGAACCTCAAACCACCGTTGCTGCACCCTATTTATTGTCTATGGTTCTTATGAGGTCGCTTACATTTGGCAAAGTGAGGGAGTTGGAATAATAATATGAAAAAAATATAAAAATTCACAGTAAAAGATAGAACGACGGGGAGCGAGCGAAAATATCACTCAAAAAGAGAATTTGCTTTCTTTAAAACTCCATCGTGATTATTCCAACTTGCTCACACTGTCAAATGTACAGACTCATACATCCCATCTCTATATGCATGCTATGGGAGAACTGTTTTATAGTTCCCAACCAACAGCTACCACATGTTTAGTGTGGAGCTGGTGTGTAAAGAGGTGCTTATATGCATCCGTCTCGTCAGTAAGAAGAGTGAAACAGCTGTCCATGGCTGCCATTGCCTGGGTGATAATTTATGGTTGTGCGCATGCGTACAGTACTGGCCATACCAGTACTGGCCGTACGTGTGCTTCAGTGCTTTCTTTATGTTGAACTCATAAGAACCATAATTATCCAAGTCCAGTAAGAGAAAGAAAGGTGCCTCATTTGTTTGCATTAACCACAAAACAATAAATTAGGCACAGTAAAGGCAGCTTGGGGGTCTAAGTTTTACAGATTTTTTTTGAAGGGGGGGGAGGGGGGGTCAGCATTTTCCACAACTGGGAGGGTCTGAG